ATATAGCGCGGGCCACTCGCGCGCGTCGGCCGCGCGCGAATGTCGAACTTCTTCAAGAATCTTCATCACCGACGCGAGAACATCGTCATCGTTACCGGCGGGCGTGATAAGCATCGGCCCCGTCATTGGCCTGCGTCGTCACCGTCACCGTCGTCGCCATCATCGCTACTCTCATAATCGCGTCTACCATTTGTCGTAGTCGCCATGATACCGCGCCCGCTAAAGTCACCAACTCGCACTGAAGTGATCGCTGGGAAGTGCCCAGTGGACAGCGCCACCGCGGCCGCGTCGGCCGCGCCAAACTAGCCAGCCGCTGTGCGCGCGAGCATGCGCATACTAGCGCGTCCGCAGATGCACCAGCCAACACCAACCACTCATCGCAACCGCCGCCGCATGGGCTTTGCAAACCAAGCTGCGGGTGGGGGGGTGGGACGTTTGCAAGGGCATGGACTTCGCCAGGTGCAAAAACCAATCGCACCACATACATTGCAAAACATACGTTGAACAATACAGGTTGCACACCATACCATACACCACGCAAGTGACACCACATAGGTTGCGCCACATAGACTGTACTACATGTCTTGAGCATGGGTATGTACAACCTCGATTCCACGACATCGTTTGCACCACATAGATTGCACAACGTAGCTTGCACAACATAGGTTGCACAACATAGATTGCACCACGTAAGTTGCACCACATAGATTGCGCCACGCAGGTTGCATTACATTTGTTACACAACAGAAAATGTCACATCATCGCGACCACAACATGGGTTGCAACACCAAGGTTGCACGGCATAAGATATTCAAATTTGCACCATCTGAAATCCACAACTCATATAACACCACATAGATTAAACCACACCGACTGCACGAAATACGGTGCACCATATAGTTTCCGCACGTGGGTGATCCCACATGTATCGGAGGTTGGGGGGTGAGATCGAAGTGGAACGGAGAGCCCCTCTACCGGGAAATCGATTTCGGTTTCTTGTTCGTGCCGTGCGTACGGGCGAGGCGAAGCTGCGTGGGCGGGGGAGAGGAAATTCTCCTGTGGCTGGGCCGCGGTTGGACCAAAAGGTTTTCCGCCCGGCAACCGGTGGCGTGCGGTGTCCCGCTGGTGTCCCGCCAGTGTGCCGCTTGTGTCCCGCCAGTGTCCCGTCGTGGCTGGGCCGCGGCCGGACCAAAAGGTCCTCCGCCCGGCAACCGGTGGCGCGCGGTGTCCCGCCGGTGTCCCGCCGGTGTCCCGCTGGTGTCCCGCCGGTGTCCCGTCGTTGTCCTGTGGTGTCCCGTGGTGAGATCGATAGTGAGATCGATAGTGAAATCGACAGTGAGATCGATAATGGGACCGATAGTGAGATCGATAGTGAGATCTATCGTGAGAGATCGGTAGTGAGATCTATAGTGAGATGGACCGTGATATCGATAACGAGATCGATGAAGAGATCGATCGTGAGATCGATCGTGTGGGATTGATAGCGAGGTCGATAGTGGAATCGATCGTGAGATGAATAGTGAGATCGAAGCCGAGATCGATAGTGAGATCGATAACGATATCGATAGTGAGATCGATCGTGGGCTGGATAGTGAGATCGGCGGTGAAATCGAAACGGCCACTGTTGCGCATTGCTGGCGCCCTCCCCCCAAACATCCTTATCACCCGCATGGTAATCGTATGGGTATATGTATTCCACCACATAGGTTTTTCTTACATGTGTTGCTCAAAATGAATTTGCACAACACCGGGCTCATAATATGGGTTGCCCTACGTAGATTGTACCACACACGTTGCAATCCATATACTGCACAAAGGGATTCACACAACATTGATTGAACCACGTAAGTTGCACCACAAAACTTTCACCACATCAATTGCACATCGCAGATTGTTTCGCGCAGGCTTTCTCTTCCGACAAGAAATGAATCTCAACCACCACCCCACATCAGGAATTATCGGGCCCCCTGGGGCACTGCACTTTACATATGGTTGAACTACATGGTGCATCACCTGTTTGATCCCATGCCTTCCCAACCAGACCCGTTTTCGACACCCGTACGCGTGTTTTCTGACAGTGCGCGCCCACACCCATTCTGCCACAAACCAAAAGGTTTCAAACCCCTCTGCGGCAATATAGCAGAATCCACACACGCATGCCGAACTCCTCCAGAACCCTACGTCTCACAAGGAGTTCCCGATCGAAGCTTTTGAAGACAACTGGAAACAATGGCTCGGCACCGTTCCATTTCTTCTGCCTGCGTTGGCGCGCTCCTGCAAAATCCGAAAGAAACCATAGGTTGTGCAACATGCTCGTCGAATGAAACCATGCGGTTTTTTTCGCGCGCGCGTGTCAAAATCGTTCGAACGCCTTTGCGCGCGCGTTGGGGGGGGGGGGCGCGATGGCTGCGGGGCGGGTGACCTGATGGCGAACAACACTCAAGACGGCTCGACACGCTTCGGCGGAGACAGGGTGGACAGGCAGAGTACGCAGAGCATCATGAAGATAGGAGGCGTAAACACAGACAAGTAAAGAATCGCGAGACGGAGAGAGGAGCCCGAAGCGGGCAATGGGACAAGAGGTGTCAAATAACACCATGCGGGCCTCGCGTGCGCGTCGGCCGTTCGCGTACGTCGAGATCCTTCCACAACCTTCATCACCAAGACATGGACACCATCATCGCCATCGGCATGGCCACCATCGGCGCCATCGTTGGCCTTGCCGCCATCCTCGCCACTATCCTCGCTACTACCATCATCGTGTCCGCCGGTGTTGATGTCACCATGGTACCGCGTCTACCCGAGCCACCGGCCCGCATTGAAGTAGCCGTGCGCCAACGCGGCCTCCGAGACGCGTGGCGGAGCCTTCAGCGGTCAGCGCCACCGCGGCCGCGTCGGCCGCGCCAAAATAGCTGGCCACTCTGCGCGCGAGCCTGCGCGCCTTAGCGCGGCCGCAGCGAAGCGCCAGCCAGCGCAAAGCAGTCATCGCAATCGCCGCAGCATGGGTTTGAAAACCAGATTGCGACAGGGGTGATGATTGCGGCAGCAATTTGCATTACATGGACTGTAACACAGAAGCTGTAGCACATCAGTTGCACTATTCGTATACGTAGAAACATATCACCCATGTACGACATATTGCACAACATACGCTGCACCACGCAGATCGTACAACATATATTGTATTACATCTGGTGCTGGCAGCACGTTGTCTGGGGTCCACGCTTGCTAAGATGTAGGTGGTTTCGTCTTCAAGAAAACGCGGAGCAGGAGCAGAAGGAGGGTAACGATAAGCAGTCATATGATATCATTATCCTACCTCCTCCTCCTCCGACTCTTTCTCCTCCTCCTTCTCCTCCTCCTCCTCCTACCCTTCTCATCCGCCTCCTCCCCCTCCTCATGCTCTCTTCTCCTCATCAATGCTCTTCCTCCTCCTTCTCCTCCTCCTCCTCCTCCTTCTCTCCCCTTGTCCTATTCCCTTTTCCTCCTAATCCTCCTCCTCCTCCTCCTCCTCCTCCTCCTCCTCCTCCTCCTCCTCCTCCTCCTCCTCCTCCTCCTCCATTCCGTTTCCTTATGCACAACTCCTCCATGTCGCGCCCCGAAGCCGGTCGAAAGGGTGGGCTGGGCGTGTCGCCTGAGACTTCCCCACCATACAGGATCCCGAAGCTTAGAAATCTGAGCAGCTTCACGGATGAAAAAAACGGTTCGTTTCTTTAATGTGGCTCTCGCCTTCGCGACACGCAGATCCGCTTGAAAAAAATCGCGAAAGCTTTACGGATGGAGGGCAGGTCGTTATCAAAATGTGGCTCTCGCCCAAGCGTTACCCACATCCGTTAAACAAGTACAACAGCTTCACAGATGGAGGACGCGCCGTTTTCAAAATGTGGCTCTCGTCGCAGCGCCGCGCACACTCGCCTTCAAGATTTGCAACAGTTTCGCGGTTGGAGGGCGGGCCGTTTCCCGAATGTGGCTACCGCCCCAGCACCGAGCACATACGGTTAAGCAAATTGCAAGAGCTTTCCGGGTTCCTCGGGTTCCCCTGGTTCCTCGGGTTCCACCCGGTTCCTCGGGTTCGTCCGGTTCCTCGGGTTCCCCGGGTTCCCCCCGGGTTCCCAAGAAGTCCCCCGGTTCCCCGGGTTCCCCGGGGTTCTCGGGTTCCCTGGGTTCCCGGGGCTCCTCGGATTCACCGTGTTCCCCGGGCTCCCCAGGTTCCCCGCCCCCGGTGCCTTGTATCCTAACTGTGCCCGTTCCAAGCAATGCAAAGTACTGCCAAGCAACGCAAAGCCATGCCGAACAATGCGCCCATGCAGTAGGAAGCTTTTCCCTCTGTCTGTAATTGGGGTCGCGCCGGGTTCATTTTCAAAATAAATGTGGCTCCCGCCCGCGCAGAATCGTTTTGGAAGTTTACAACAAGTTCAAGGATTCTCATGGCTAACGTCTCAAGAGTTGTGTGATTGGCATGATGCCGGGTGGTCAGGGCGCAACAACTACGCTGATTCGTGGTGTTGAAATCCCAGCAATGGTGTTCTGGCACGATCCTGGATCGTCAAGACGCAACAGTAACGGTGATTCGCGGCGTTGAAGTACCAGGAGTGGTGTTTTGGCACAGCTCAGGAATTTCAAACGGTTGTTTTCCAACGGGGCAGTTCCTTTCGGGGCCTACGTATGACGAGGCAACTTGGAGGGAGGGTTTATTGCACTATCGTTGCTGGGTCATGTTTTTACACTGGTCCTCCTCCTCCTCCTCCCCCTCCTCCCTGAGTTCCACCCCCACCCCAGGGTGATGGACGCCCCCCCATCGCGCATCCCCGAGCTGGGCCTCAATCTCTTCAGCCAGCCGAAAGGCGTACCAAGTCGGGGATTGGGGTCGTCGAGCCTCCTGCTAAACGAGGAGGAGGAGGAGGAGGAGGAGGAGGAGGAGGAGGAGGAGGGGCCTCCCCCCGCTCCTGGCCACGCAAGACGCGGAGATGCGGCCTGGCGCCCCGCCCCCCTGGCCGGGCCTTCCACTGCTGCTCCCCGGGAGAGTACGCCACCACCGCCGCGCCAGCTGCGGGCCGCTTGCGCTCCGACGGTGACGACGTCGACGAGGACAACGACGACGACGACCACGACGTCGACGACGTCGACGACGGCTGCGGCGCCGGCGATGACGGCGGCGATCTCTGGTGCTTGTGGTTGATCATCGCCACAGGGCCCCCCTCATCCTGCTCGCCTCCTCGCCGCCTCGCCCCTGGCTTCCTCCTCCTGCGCCTCCGCCTCCTCCTTCTCCTCCTCCTGCTCCTCCCCTTCCTCGCCTCCTCGCCCTTGGCTCCCTCCTCTTCCTCGCCTCCCCGCCCTTCTTTCCTCCTCCTCCTCCTCCTCCTCCTCCTCTCCTCCTCCTCCTCCTCCTCCTCCTCCTCCTCCTCCTCCTCCTCCTCCTCCTCCTCCTCTTCCCACGTCCGCCTCCTCCTCCTCCTCCTCCTCCTCCTCCTCCTCCTCCTCCCACGTCCGCCCCGCCGACTGCAGACCGCGCGCTCCCGTGAGAGACCACGCGGAGGCCCCACGGAGGGACCCGAGAGGGCCCTGCAATCAGGGGGACGTAAGACCTGGGTGCAGGGGACTCGGAAATCCCCGACGAGGTCTTCAAAAAAATGACGAGGCCGAGCCTGCATTTTGACGAGGCCTCCCGCTGCAGACATCCCACGAAATTCCTCCTCGTCAAAATCCGAGGCGCGGTCGTCAAAAAACGATGGCGAACCCGAGTCCTGGCAAACCCGGGTCTTACGCTCCCCCGATACAAGAGAGCTCCCAAGGCACCCCAAGAGGGATGCAAGAGCCGGTGCGACCATGGCCCAGCTCCGAGGAGGCAAAGGCGCCCATACCTCTACCCCCGCGCTCGTTATTCCCCTTTTGGGGGCCTCCTCGGAAGCCCTCGGCGCCACCGCTGCATTCGCCTCGAAATCCTGGTCAGAGCGCACCCCGGGAGAGGTCCGGGGAGCAGCGGTATCCGTACCTTCTGGCTTCCCCACCAGCCACGGCTGCGCGATGGGCCGACGGCAACGACTTCGCCAAGACGAGAGACTTCGACCAGTGTGGGTCGGCCCAGCAGGAGCCCATCGCCTCTGCCCGGAAGGGATCGCTCTCTCGTGAGCAGTGCCGCGGGCGAGCTGTGGCAAGGTACTGTCACACCAGGGCCCAAGGCAGAAAGACAGTGCCCCTCCGCGAGCCGCTCCAACAAGAGGTGCTGGCCTCTGGCCTTCTGCAATATACCAGAAGGAAACGCCCCCCCTCTCCACATCGGGAGCGTCCCTCACCGAACCGCCCTCTCCTGCCACGGCAGAAGTGCGCCCAGCGATGAGCCCGCCGGTGTGGTGTGTGTTGTGCTCTCCGCGCGCAACGTCCCCCCACCCAACCCGTCGTGCGGGTCGCCGTCGTCACTGTCGCCGTTGCCGTCGCCGTCGCCGTCGTCGTCGTCGTCACCTTCGCCGTTATCGCCATGGTCGTCATCCTAGACGCCTGGCAGGGTGGGTTGGTCAATCGTTGCGTGGAGCTCCGGTCGTCCCTTCTTCTGGCGCGGGGGCCGACCCCCCCCCAGCGTCCGGAAGATGCCGCGTTTGACGTACAGGGAGCAAAGCTCCATACGGACCCTGGCGATACTTGGGCCCGCGCCCTGAGCAGTTTCTAAGTACACTTGCTGTTCTAATTTCATTTAATCACGTCCTGTTTGCCGCAGTCTTATAAGTGTCGATTCTACGCTCGCATTTCTACAGTTTGAAGATGTTCCTGGCCCGACCTATCTGGTGCATTGCCAGTGCGACACAGACGGCCCAATCTGCCGCGAACAAGAAGTGCTGATCTCTAGGTTCCCCTCGCCACATCGGGAACGTCCTTCACCGATCCGCCCTCTCGTGCCCTGGCGAAGGTGGGTCGCGCTGGACTCGTTTCTGATAACGCGAGGTGTTGCGGTCCGAAGCCACAACACCGCTGCATGCATCGAGCTCGGGACAATGCAAGCTCCAATGGCGTATAGATCACGTTGGACCCACTCGAACCGTGCTGCAGGCGGCAGGCACCACAGGGAAGCCTGCATCATAGTTAATGGGTGAACCTCCTCCTCCTCCTCATCATCCTCCTCATCCTCCTGCTTCTCTCCCTCCTCATTGCCCTCCTTCTCCTCCTCCTCCTCCCTCCCTCCTCCTCCTCCTCCTCCTCCTCCTCCTCCTCCTCCTCCTCCTCCTCCTCCTCCTCCTCCTCCCCCCCCCCCCCTCCTCCTCCTCCTCCTCCTCCTCCTCCTCCTCCTCCTCCCCTCCTCCTCCTCCTCCCTCCTCCTCCAACTCCTCCGCCTCCTCCGCCTCCTCCCCCAACTCCTCCGCCTCCTCCTCCTCCTCCTCCTCCGCCTCCTCCCCCCCCCCCCTCCTCCTCCTCCTCTCCTCCGCCTCCTCCTCCCCCCCCCCCTCCTCCTCCTCCTCCTCCTCCTCCGCCTCCTCCTCCTCCCCTCCTCCTCCTCCTCCTCTTCTCTCTCTCTCTCTCTCTCTCTCCTCCTTGCACTCCTCCTCCTCCTCCTCCTCCTCCTCCTTCCTCCTCCTCCTCCTCCTCCTCCTCCTTCTCTCTCTCTCTCGTCCTTGCACTCCTCCTCCTCCTTTTCCTCCTCCTCCTCCTCCTCCTCCTCCTCCTCCTCTTCCTCCTCCTGCTCCCCCTCCTCCCCCTCGGCCACCGCATCGTAAGGATAGTTGCTTAACGTGTTGGAGTCTTTGCGGCACCTGGGTACCCATTGAAGACACCCAGGGGCCTCCAGTGACCTCCGAGTATCATGTCAGGCTGGCGTGCTGTGCTGTGGCCCGAAGTGCGAACCTGACGGGCACCGAGCGCCATCCGAAGCAGATGTGCTCCTTGCTCTTCAGAGCCCCAATCTTGTGTACGAGTGAAGGAGGGCCGCGCGCACATGACAAACCCACTGGCCCCATGCCGCCTGTTTACGTCTCCACCCAGATAATACGTTCAGCGCCGCGGCGCTGAAGTCCACACACGCGTGGAGTGGACGTCGGGACCCCGTCGAATCAAGGCTGACCCTGCGTCAGATAGTCGAGTCCGGGTCGGCTCCGTCAGTCCAGAAGACTCCAAGGCGGTCTCGAAGGAAACACTCCTCCCCCTTTACCAGCTCCTCTAGCATCTCCTGATCACAGTCGGTGGACGCAGAATCAAAGATACTTTTGCAAGATGGTCCCACGGGGCCGCATGATCATTAACGTCAACAAGACTTCGCGCAAGTGAGACATGCGCAGCTTTAGCGCTGAAGTCCTCCTGCAGGGCTGGCCCAAGCCAGCGAGGAAGGACAGGCACACAGAATGACCGACTGATCGGCGGTGGATCAACCTCCTTTTAGTAGACCTCCCCTTAGTGAAAACGGCCTGGGACCGAAACCGACGGACCTGGACCCGCAAAAATGACGGCCGCGACGCCCTCTCGCGAACCGAAAACGGCCAATTCCTTAATCGACGTGTCAGGGTAGGAGGTCTGTCCACCCCCGAACTGAAACCGAGGAGCATGCCCAGGCTTCTGAAGAGACGAATGCATGCGTGCTGGCCAACGTGGGCTTCCTGAATTCTGCGTGGCGCTGGAGCTCCTCAGCTCGCCGCCGGCTCCACCCGACGCCGCCCAACTCGGCTCAGAGTCGGCTCTCGGATTCTGGCCAGACCTCCTACGGCGGATGATGGAGTAACAGAAGTGGGAGGCAGCCCGAGAAGGAGGCCTTCGAGAGAGATCGATGTCTACTTCTTCTTCTTGCTTGCGCACTCGCCCTGTCCCGCTTGCTTGCCCGTGCTGGCGTCCGGCTCCTCGTCCTCGCTCTCGCTGTCGGAACGCTCATCGTTCTGCACGGTGCCGCCCACGAGAGCCTTCTTCGCAACCTTGAGGATGAGGAAGAACCAGAACAGGTGAACCCGCGACTGTGCCCCCCCGGGCACGCTGAGGCGCGGCAGAATGCCAAGGTCTGTCTGGTAGGGATGGTGTGCTCTTCCAGGCCCCCCCCCCTCTTCTGGCACCTACCAGCATGCGCAATTCCCCCTTCCGTCATAGGAAGAAGCTGGGCCCGCGCTCCCGAGGCCACGGCCACGATCCCTCGTAGAGAGCGATGGGTACGGGCTCCCGAGGCCACGATCCCTGGCACAAACAAGTGGATCCGCGCTGCCGAGGCCACAGGCCCGTGTAGAATACGATGGCTCCGCGCCCACGAGGCCACGATCCCTCGCACAAGAACTATAGATCCGCGCTCCCGAGCTGTCGAGACGGCGGAGGCAGGCAACGAAGGCCGACGAGATGGCCCAGGTGCCTCCAAGACGTGCTCCAGCACCTCTCAAAACACCCGGGCGTCCCCACCTTCCGGGCCCCTCTGCAGCTCCACACGGTCCCGGAGGCCTCCGAGATGGCCACGATTGGAGGCCTGGAAATGGGCACCAACACCAGAACGGGGGTTGCCTCCACAGGGGGAAGATGATCCTGGATTTCGGTGTTGGTGGTAATACTTCGGTCACCTTGGAAGCCAGAATATTACCACCAGCACCGAGATCGGGATCTCCATCCCTCGGTGGAGGCACACCGCCGATCTTGGTGCTGGTGTCAACCTCTGGGCCTGCGACACGAGAGGGCCCCCAAATCGCCCAGTCATCCTTCAACTGTGCAGTGTCTTTGGGTGGAGGGCTCGGGGTGCACTCCATACGGGCGCTCGCACCTCGAACATCATCTCGTGTCGTGCCTCGCCTGGTGCGGGTTGGAGCCTCACAGAACAAATCGAAACGGCACTGCAGACTTCACCCTTTGCCCTCCTCCCAGAGAACATGCTCGGTTCAAGACGGCCTCAAGACGGCCCACAGAGCCCTGGACGGCCCAGGACGGTCCCGAGAGAAGCCCCCGCGCTGGCCCGCGAGGACCTCCGGCAGGGGCCCAGGGACGGCCCTGTAACTGGGGCCCCTCGGCGGCCCGAGCGACGGCAGAAGGACAGGCCGCGCGCCGGCCGCGAGAGACCCCACGGACAGCCAAGAGGACCCCAAGAAGATCCAAGAGAGCCCCCTCCTCCTCCTCCTCCACCTCCTCCTCCTCCTCCTCCTCTTTTGACTGGGGTGCGCACGGGGACGGGCCTCTGGGCCGCACATCACCTTCGCTGTGCCTCGGGAGGGGGGCCTTCAAACGCCCGCCCACTCCCGAAGCCCCGTCGCGCGGCACAACCGCACCGCGCTTCAGGGCAGCGCCACCGTCGGGGCCGTGCCCCCGTGGCGTGCCCAGGCGCGACCAGGGAGCCAAGGAGACCGTGCTCCGCCTCCCTGGTCGGGGTAGGGGGCGCCAGAGCACGAGCTCCGACGCCCACCGACCCACCACCTACTCCATAGGTGGCCGCGGTTTCGGGCCCAGGGACCCCCGGGACCGAACCAAAAGGGGGCGACACGACACGACGCGACACGACGGGGGGACGCAACGGACGACACGACACGAACGACACGACACGGACGAACGACACGACAGAGACGAGCCGCCGATCCCGCCCCAGGGCGGCGAGCGCTGGGGGGGACCCAGCACCGCCCTGGGGGAGGCCACGGGATCTGGCGACCCCCCCCGGGGGAAGGAAACCGCGCTTTGGCGGCGTCCCCCGGGGGGTGCGGGGGCTTTTCGCCCCTCGGGCCCGGCGCTCCCCGCCTGCGCCAGGAGGACCCTAGGGTCCCGACCCCTCCCCTACGGGAGGGGCCCCCTCGGGGCCCTCCTCCTCCTCCTCCTCCTCCTCCTCCTCCTCCTCTTCATCCTCCTCCCCCTCCCCCTCCTCCTCCTCCTGATACTCCTGATCCTGCTCCTCCTCCTCCTCCTCCTTCTCTCTCTCTCTCTCTTTCTCTCTTCCTCCTCCTCCTCCTCCTCCTCCTCCTCCTCCTCCTCCTCCTCCTCCTCCTCCTCCTCCTCCTCCTCCTCCTCCTCCTCCTCCTCCTCCTCGCTAGGAATTCCAGTGGCCCCGATGCGGGGTGGACCCCGAACTTTCTTAGCTTGATCCGTTCGGGGTTTGTTGCGTTACGCCCAGGCCGATCCCCGACATCAGCAGCTACGCTCCGTAAAAAGAGTAACAGGTTATGCCTATCCTTAAGGGCATCTGTACTACACCACAGTCCTCCTCCTCCTCCTCCTCCTCCTCCATTCCCTTGAAAACCACTTCTCCATGTCGCACCCCGGCGCCAGTTTTTAGGGCGGGCCGGGCGTTTCGACTCAGAATTCCTTTTCCATGCATGACTCTGGAGCCTAAATATTGACAACTGCTTCACAGATGGAGGGCGGGTCGTCTTCAAAACGTGGCTCTCGCCGTAGCGCGGTGCACGTTCGTCTTAAAACATTGCAAGAGCTTCGCGGAATGACGGCGACCCGTTTCCAAACTGTGGCTCTCGCCTTCGCACCGCGCACATTCGTTGTGAACATTTGCCAGAGTTTCACCGATTGAGGGCGGCTCCTTTTCAAAATGTGGCTCTCGCCTAAAAACTCCGCGCGCGTTCTTTTCTAACATCTGCAAGAGTTTCACGGGCTCCCATCACCAACGTACCAACAACATTGTTTTGAACGGATTCAACATTATGTGGGTGCAACAGTTACGTCGGTTCGCTGTGTTGAAGTCCCAGAAATGGCTCCCTGGCACGATTCAGGATCGTCAAGACGCAACAGTGAGGTTGATCCGTGGCGTTTGAATTCCGAGAACAATGTGTTGGCAAGCTTCGGGGTCTTCAAACGGTTGTCCTCCAACGGGGCAGTTCCCTCCATGGACATAAACCTTTGTAGGGGCCTATGAGGAGCGAGCTTGGAGGGTTGATTCCAACATCGTTGATGACTCTTGGGTTTACACTGGTTCTTCTCCTGCTCCTCTTCCTCCAAGGAACCCAAGAGGACCCCAAGAAGATCCAAGAGAGTCCCCAGACGGCCCAAGAGGGTTCCAAGACGGTCCAAAGTGGCCCAAGGGGCCACCGAGACTGCCCAGCAGATACCCCAGAGAGGATGGAAGAAATGGAGGAAGTCGACGAGGACGAGAAGAAAAAAAAAACGACGACACGACGCGGAAGACTGAGTCAAATGTTATGGATCCCTACAAAGTCTCGGGACACGAAGTATCACAAATTACGGCATCCTGGGCACCCCTGGAACAGTCGACACCCGAGTGCTGGGCTGCCACGGTGGCGGGACCTGCCGCAGGCAGCTGGATAGGATAGAGCATGCACAGCAGCATCTTGCAGGCCCATTGATCGACAGTGGCATCCCAGATGGGGTCCGCCCCGGGAAATGCAATGGTGTAGAACCAAGCGTGATAGATCACGACTGGGTACAAGACCAACCTGGAGGCCAGGAACACCACCGCGCCGAGCCCGAAACTGACGTCGGCGAGGGCGTGCAGCGGGCCCTTGAAGGCGTAGTGGCAGCACTTCGCAACGTTCAGGAACGGGTCAAACAGGTTGTGCAGGTTCATCACGACGATGCCGATGCGAAGGTAGCCGCAGGAATAGGACGTAAATATCAGCACTGAGGTGATGACGTGGTGCGCGAGCATCTCGAGAAAGTCAGACCTGCGCCTCTTGAAGAAGAGCACAACCAGGCACATCGAGTACCAACCGAACTCGAGCACGTAATAGGTCCGCATCTCGCGGGCGCAGTGGTACGGCGGCGCCGCCGCGCCACCCGTGGGCACTGCCGTGCCAGCGTCCGCCATCAGGGCCTCCCAGCCGGAGGGCCAGAACCAGCTGGCGCCGCTGAAAAGGCGGTAGTTCACGAAGATCTGGACCGCAAAATACACCGCCTCGCCCCACGCGGTGCAGAACCTCTCGCGCTTCCTCGGCCGCCTCCGCGGGTCCAGGTCGCTGCCAACTCGGAGCGCGGCCGCCGCCGCGCTGCCCACGGCCTCGATGGCCTGGAGGTAGAAGAAGGCCATCGTGGTGGCCAGCGCCATGGGAAGCAGAGTCTCTGGCTGTCCGAGGGAGACTTCGACGGGCACGAGGTCTCCGCTCACACTTCCCCCTTGCACGACGTTGAGAAGCTGCCCGACATCCGCGAGGAAGCTCGTCGCGGCTGGGACGAGCGCTGAGGCGGCCATGAGACCCTGCGCGCCGAGGCCACCGAAATGGGACCGAGTGTCGCGCGGTGGGGATTGAACTGAACAGCAGGCCTGGGCCACGAAAGTCATGGTCGCACCCCCACTCACAACAGGAGGCAGGCGTAAGCAAGCAAACGTGACCTGGCCAGGCCCTCCAAAACTATCAAATGGCATTGGCTCAGCTCATCCACACACACACACACTTTTGGACGGTAGCGGCCCCGCGCGCGGCGACGAGGCAAAGCAATTAAGTCTAGCAGCGGAGCAAAGCGTGCGGTTGCGCCCTTCTCTAGCAATGTGCAAAACGATCGCAGAGTATACTAGCACTCAACAAAAGCGTAGACAGGATCCGGGCGAGAAGCGACCGCGCTCAAGCCGAAGCCGTGAAGTTCCGGGTTGGTGGAGGAGGGGAACGGCAAGGCGAGCGTGCAGGAAGATGAAGGCTCGAGAAGCAAACGACGAGACGAGCATGCGATGGCATCAATGCAAGAAGTATCACGTAGACGTGCAGGAAAACAGTTGAAAGCTCCCACGATCGACAATGCCTTGGATGGTGGTGCGCCCTGGGAGGTAGTCTGGCGAGTGGCACACATACGCCCACGCATACAGTTGCACACGCGCAGGGCTGATTCACGCTTGCGACATGCGGAGGTCACGCGTTGGATACGCGTGCTGGGCTGTTGGTGCAACTGGCCATATACGAGGGCCGAACGCTCGCACGACGTGCGGCCACACCCGTATCCAACTCTCGCCCTGGCTGGCCACATCAGGCGCAACTTCCCGGGAATGCCTGGTCAAAGCATGGCTGGTGGATGCTCGCACCCCCGGCGCTTGCGCGTTGCTCCGGCGTCCGTGCTTGCTCACAGCGCGGGCCTCCGGAGCTCGTGGCTCCATCCCCTGGGCCGCTTCTCCGTAGGTCTAGGTCGGGCATGCCCCCCTACAGGCGGATTTTGGACGAAAATCAAGAGTACCCCAAACATGCTCCAACATAGTCAGACATGGTCAGAAAATCGTTCCCACAGCATGTTTTTACTATTTTTGCATATTTTTCCTGTAGAGGGACAAGCCCTTTCTCCCTCCTCCTCCTCCTACTCCTCCTCCTCCTCCTCCTCCTCCTCCTCCTCCTCCTCCACTTCTTTCCCTTGTGGATGACTCCTCCCTGTCGCACCCCGAGGCCAGTCGGAAGGGCGGGCAGGGCGGCTCCGCGTGAGACATCCGTACCGCTTAGGAGCCTCAAGCCTCAAAATTGGCAACGGCTTCGCAGGTGGGGCCCGCAAAGCCGCCCCCCCCCCCTCCCCGAGGACACGCATCAGCAGACAAGGTGGCCGCGAGCTGGGGCGCAGCACGGCGGACTGCACCCCGCGCGGAGGAGGAGGAGGAGGAGGAGAGGAGGAGAGGAGGAGGAGGAGGAGAGGAGGAGGAGGAGGAGGAGAGGAGGAGGAGGAGGAGGAGGAGGAGAGGAGGAGGAGAGGAGAGGAGGAGGAGAGGAGGAGGGAGGAGGCGGAGGAGGAGGCGGAGCGAGCAGAGGACGTTCGCTCCACGGGGGAGCCGCAGAGGCCGAGCGCCCCTGTTTCCCTCGACCCGGGGGCGCAGAGCCCCCCTGATCAAGCAGCGGCGGCAGCTGGCAATCGAGCGCACACCTTGGTGCCAGTCGCCGCCAGCCTTCCGCATCCGCCTCCGCCTCCGCCTCCGCCTCCTCCTCCTCCTCCTCCTCCTCCTCCTCTTCTCCGCCTCCTCCTCCTCCTCCTCCTCCGCCTCCTCCTCCTCCTCCTCCTCCTCCTCCTCCTCCTCCTCGCGTCTCCCTCCTCCTCCTCGCGTCTCTCCACGAACGCAGGAAGGCCACGAGCGAGCGGCGGAGGGCGGCCCCGCAGCGCGGGAGCGGACGCAGGGCTCGCCGAGGCGACCGCCCGCCCGCCGCAGCGTGGGCACCGAGGCGACCGGGTGCACGGTGCAGCGGAGCTCCTCCTCCTCCTCCTCCTCCTCCTCCTCCTCCTCCTCCTCCTTTCCTCCTTTCCTCCTCCTCCTCCCCCCCCCCCTCCTCCTCCTCCTCCTCCTCTCCTCCTCCTCCTCCTCCTCCTCCTCCTCCTCCTCCTCCTCCTCCTCCTCCTCCTCCTCCTCCTCCTCCTCGGGCGCCGTGCGCCCACGGTCCACGGTCTCGTCGCTCGCGTGCCGCCCAGGGCGAGGGACGTCTCGCGGCACGGGGCGGAGCGCCGGGGCCAGAGGGCGCAGCGAGGGGCGGGGTCTCGTTGCCCACACCACCGGCGCACAGCCGGCTCCGCGCCGCGAGGCCGGCGGCCGCCGGGCAGGCCGGGGACGGCACGCGAGAAGAACCAGGGCACCTCTGGAAGAAGAGGAGCAGACGGGGAAGAGAGCGGACGGCGAGCAGGAGTCCGCGGAGAGACGCAGAGCCAAGGAGGCAGATGCACGGGAGACAGAGCGAGGGGGGAGGCAACAACAGCGAGGACGAGGAAGCAGAGCGAGTAGAGCAGCAGCAGAGAACGGACGGGGAGAGCCCCGCGGGGGCGAGGCCCGCTTCTCCACGCTCCGGGCTGCGGTCAGGATGCAGCAGCGGCCTGTGGCCGCGACGCCTCCAGTCGCTGCGGACATATGACCTTCTCAACCCTGGTGGGCAACCTCAGGGAAGCGCATGCGCACTCGAGCCCAGGCTTCGACACGCCACTGATGAGAGGACGCTCCCGCAGGAGCCTTTGCCTGCTCCAGGCAGGAGTGGTGAGGACTCTCACGGGTCCAGCGTCACGGACACCGCCAGTGCACGCCTGCCTCCTCTCGTGTGCGCGGGGGCGAGACCAGCCTCTCCAGGCTCCGGGTCGCGGTCAGGGGACAGTTGCGGCCTTGAGCCATGATGCCTCCAGTCTGTCCGAACATCTTTCGCAACGGAGGACGGACGCCCTCCGACGAGCCTCGCACACCTCACACATCAACTGCCAGTGCGAACATAACCACATTGCCTGTACAATCGCACGACACAGCCGAGACGAGGACCAGGGAGGACGAGGACAAGGGAAGAGAAAAGGCGAGGGGAGAGGGAACAACACCGCGCTGAGTGCGCGTCCTTGATAGCCCTGCACCCTTGCGACAGCTTTACACAATCCCAAACATTCGAAAAAACAAAAACAATGCTCTTAGAACATAGGCCCAGTGTGTTAAAACAAAACAGTCTCAGCCAGAAGCGTTGGAAGAACACGTCGTGCAAACCACAACAAGTTCTTAGAATATTTTCTGGTGGGCCTATAGGCAAGCCAGGACGCTTCGCCACTGCATGATAGGGGCCAACGGGGGCGAACGATTGGGGTCAACTGTGGACAACGCTGTGGGGCAAAAAGGCCCCCGATCTCGGGGGCACAGCGGCCTCACCGGGCGGGGGGAATCGATGGGAAGCAACTGTAGGCAACGATGGATGGGGCACCAAAGACACACAAATAGATAACCACAAATCTCAGGATTCCCTATTTTTTCCCATAAGTTCTGGACTTCTGTCTTCCCCCCCACTTCCAATTTCCCTTTTTTTCGTGGGAATCCACGAGTATTTGCGTCTGTGTGCGGTTCCCTCTTGAATGATGGGGGACAGCGGGCCCCCGACCCAGGGGGCCGAGCAAGCCCAGCCGAGCGTGGGGGAACGTCGGGGGCAACGGGGGCCAACGATGTGGGGCAGCAGCCCCCCGATCTCGGTGGACCGGCAGCACACCACACGGGGCGTGAGAAGCAACATGTAAACCCGCACAGCCAAGCTGTTTAGGGAACCTCCGCATGGGCATGAGCGCACAAGGGGGCATCGCGAAGCAGCGCCGGTACCTTCAAGGGCGCCCGTGGCAACGCTCCTTGCACCCCTAATTACCTCTCCCGGAGGCCGTAGACTCTCTTTTCCCTCCGACTCCCCCAGACTCTGACAGGTCAACTCACACACGTGAAACGCCCTACCTGGCAGCATCGCTCACCTGGGGCGGCATCGCCTCTATGCCCTCCCAGCCCCAGCCCGTGCATCCTACGGAATACTTCCTCGGTGCTCCTGTTTCCTCGATCCCCCCCGTCCCAACTCCATCTCCCCTTCTCTATCCTCCTCTCTTCTCTCCATCTCCCCCGCCCCTCCCCCCTCCCCGCATCGCTATGCTCATCCATGACCCCTTTTCCCATTTATCCACCCTGCCCCTCCCAGGTCCCCTCCTCCTTTTTCAATCCCCCTCTCCTGTCTCCAAGATCCGCTGCTTGTTCCACCCTCCTTCGTTGTTCCACATCATCATACCCCTCCTTCTCCCCCTCCTCCCTCGTATCTCTCCTTCCCTCACTCCACCTTCCTCTGTGCGCTTCTCTCTTGCCGCCTCATCTTCCTTCCCATTCCTCGTCCCTCCCTCTCCACTTGTTCCTTCCTTTTCCCTCTCCTCCTTCTCCTCCTCCTCCTCCTCCTATTCTGCTTTCTTCCTGCCTCTTGTTGTGCACTCCTCTCTCCTTGTTTGGTCACGGGCACCTAGGACAACACGCGCTGCGGCCCCATCTGAGGTGCAGCCTTGGCCTCACGTCAACAGCACGTCACACGGCTCAAAGGTTACACCCCGAGGAGGCCGCCGCCGCCTCAGCACGCCTCCCCGTCGCGGAAATCCGGGCCCGCAAGGCAACCATGCGGTCTGCCGCGGGGGCGGACGCACTGGCCTGCGGTGGGCGGCGAGCCAACCATCCCCCCAGGAGCTGCTTGTCGCGGGCAGCCTCCAAGCGCTCGGCCACTCTGGCCCCTTTGGCCCTCGCTTCCCAAATATCCGGCTGCTCCAAATTTTTGGGGGCGTGGACCCAGGAGGTCCGGACCACTTCCCCGGGACCGGTTTTTCGTCCTGAGTTGTTTCTTGTCGCTCCCGAGGCCCGGCGAGGGCCCCTGGAGGCCGAAAACTGCCAAAACCGCCGGCTCCAATTTTTTGGAGCGCCGGATCTCAGGGTTGGCGCCGGAACGAAGCCGCAGACGCCATGGATGCAGCCGGCCCAGCAAGCGCACCACCAGTCGAGTCCCTGGCGGAAATCGGCGGGGCACGCGGCGGGGAGGCCCGCGCCGCCTGGCCGCCGGGCTCGCGGGAGTCGCCCACGGGCGCGGCCTTCCGCTTGCAGCCGCGGGTCCGTCGCGGCCGCTCCGCCTCGGAGCTCCGTGCGTGGTGATGCTGCGTGGCTCCAGCTCCACGGGCGCCGGCGCGCTGATTCGGGAGACCCAAAAGGGGGTCCAGCTGCAAGGGGGTGGTGGGATAGATTTGGGGCAAGTGTATTGCAAGTGTACTGCGCCAGAGACATGTGTTGCATTGTGATGCAAGTAATGTACTGCGCGCGAAAATCCAGCAATACACTTGCGCCCTGGACTGTATTACATGCCCCTAAATGCATTGCTACCCCACAAAACTACTGATATTGCACCATCCCCTTGTCGCTGGACCCTCTTTTTGGGTCAACCCGAATTGAGATGGCAGTGGTTGCGTACACAATGACAGGCCCGATCCAGACGGCGGCCTCCCCGTGGCGCGCTGCTGCGTCGCGGGCCATCTGCACCTGGGCCCAAGGCAGCGCATCGCGGCGGGCGATCTGCTGCGCCAGATCGTCCACGAGGTCGTTGCCGCGGCGACATCGTGGGCCTGCACGGGCTTGCCGTTGCTATCTTTTTGTCGACGTGGCTGGTGGCAGGATGGTGGGCCGGCATCCGCGTCACACAGTCTGGGTCGGCTTCGAGAGCCGATCGGCCCCCACTCTCTGGTTGGGGTTCAGCAAGGAACGGTGGCCCAGCGCTCCTCCCGCTTCGCTCCGATCAGCACCGCGGAACAATCCACCTTCAAGGAGTACGCGAGGTCAAACGGCTGGGCAGCCATGGGCAAGCCTATCAGCTCCGTGGCGTGAATGCCGACTGCCCACAACGGGGTGCGGTCCTAGCCGGACTGCCCATTCAAAGGACTCCTGCGCGGCGGGTCTAGGGCAGAGGCCGGAGACGGCGCGATGCCTCTTGTGAGCAGGGCCAGGCCCGCTAGGCTCAGCGCCAGCTTGCCCTCGGGATCCGCGCCCTGGCGGACCAACTCTTGAATCCAGGCGGAGGCCGCCCTCTGCCGGTAGGGCGCTGTGGCTGGACACGTCGGCTGACCTCAAGGCGCCCTTCTCGGGAGGGACCCAACTGTCGCCATGCCTCCCGAAGCTCGAAGAGGGGCTGCGCGAAAAGCCCGCGCCCTCCGGAACCGCGGCCGAAAAGACGATGTTGTCGCTCTATGTCGGGGATGGACAGACTTCCCTTTAGTAAAACGTGGTCTAGTGAAAACGACCTGAGGCCCAAACCTGGCGGGCGCAGGACTGGAAAATAACGGCCACGGCGCCCTCTCGAGAACCGAAAACGGACAATTCACGAATCGACGTGTCACTGTTGGGGGTTTTGTCCACCCCCGACTATGCGTCGCCACCGCCAGCGCCAGACAGACTGCTGCACGAAGCGCCGGGGCATGGCCGGCGAATCCCTGGTGGAATCGACGCGCTGGCCCCGGTCGATGCGCACCCCGGCATATGAAAGTGCCTGCCAGTGGAGCCGCAGGGCCGACGCCACAACGACAGCGGTGGGGCCTCCTCCTCCTCCTCCTCCTCCTCCTCCTCCTCCTCCTCCTCCCACGGCGACGGCCAGTCCACCAAGGCAGCGAGATCGACGCGCGAGTCTGCCCAAGACGGGCCTGGGCAGCCAGCCCTCCCACGCTGCCTCGGCCGACTTGGCGATGGGGGCCTCGTGAGCGGCGAAAGTTGGGGCAGCCTTGCCGCGCATATGGCCTTCGGCGAGGACCAAGGTGATGTCCAACTCTCCGCTGTCACCTGGCACTGTGGCTGCTGCAACTGCAGCGCGCTGGTACTGGAATCTGGTGTTAGAGACTCCCGTGTTGGCTTGCCCGTACACGCGAGCCGCAGGCCCCTGGTCCGGAGCATCACGGCCGTCCTGCGAGACCCGATCCACCCGCGCCATGTTTGAAACTGCGGTTTGCGCATCTTGATGTCCAGAAGCCGCTTCGCCAGCAGAGCCGCGTTGCGGAAGCGCCCAGAGGGGATGCCTCCCCCCCCAGCGACTTGGCATTGTCAACGACTATCGTCTTCAGCCCGCGGAGCTGGTATTCAATGCGGAAGGCCCGCTCCCGGCGCGAGGCGAAGACCACTCTCTTCGTGTGGCTGAACTCCGCGCCGACCTCGACGAGGCGTTCGCTGAAGTGCCTCACTGCGCCAACCATGGTGTCACAGACCATCCGCTCCGATCCAGAGGCCTCGAAAGAGGTGTCGTCGACATAGACTGTGACCGTGGCGGGCGGTTGCATGATGGTGAAGAGCAGCGCGACGACACCGCAGGCGATCCCCCCACCTCCTCCGCATCCTTGTCGGCATGCCTCTCATCCCTTCATCCTCCACGACCCGTGCTCACACATCCTCCATGTGATACTTCCTGTCGCTGCTCCGCTTCCCTCATCCTTCCTCCCCCCCCGCGCGCCACCTTTCATCAACCTTTCTCCTGCCTCCTCCCCTCTCCTCCAGCTGCTCCCTACTCCTTATCTTCCTCCTGGTCCTGCTCCTCCTGCTCCTCCTGCTCCTCCTCCTCCTCCTCCTCCTCCTCCTTCTCCTCCGCCTCCTCCTAGCCGTTTCGGCTGGAGGTGGTTGCACCCCAGCGTCGGCGCGCGCGATTCGGAGCGGCGCAGCGCGTCGGAGCCGATGGCGATGGCGGCATGAAAGTGAGGCTTCCAGTGCACCTGATTGACAGGCGACTCCTCACGGAGCTGAGAGACAGCCTTGGTGATTTCGAACTGATCATCGAGAACGGGCCGGCTGGACAGGATGGAGGGCAGGTGGATCCCCATGTCCAGCTGGCGCTCGCCGCCGCGGAAGGTCAAAGTCGGGGACCAGTGGCTGGTGAAGCCGCCGTCGCCGCGTCGACCACTCAGGCCCTGGGTGAAGGCCAAAGCAAAGGCGAGACCTGTGAAGAAGTAGCTCACCGCGAAGGCCAAAGCCAAGAAGAAGGAGCTGGCCACGGGCTGGCGCCGTCGGAAGCGAGTCAAGGCCAGCACCCACAAGCACCGAGAGGGCAGCAAGAACGCGGAGCCGGTGCCGAGTGGTCCTTGGGAGTGCACGCCATGCTCGGACTCGCTCAAGCGGAAGATGGTGAACTTCGGGCTCCGCTCGAGCTGCCCTTTCTGCAAGAGGTCAGCTCCGCCGGAAACCCTCCTGAAGCAGGAGGCCCAGCGCGCAGCCGCCCAAGTGGAGAAGCGCAAGGTCATCAGCCAGAACAGGGAGGAGTTCATCAAGATGCGGGACACTCGCAGGCAGCAGGCATCGGCAGCTGCCAGTTCTTCAACCTCTCCAGCAACGACGGTGACGAGAAGCAACCGGCGGACGAGCTTCTTGACCAGGCTGAAGAAGGCGAACAAGGACAAGAACAAGGAGACCCACAAGCAGAAGGAGGCCAATCCTGCGCGGGAGGGGCCATTGGAATCGACCGCTCAGGCTGGTGCCAGCCTCCAGGCCCTGATCGACAAGGCCACTGCCAAGAAGCACCAACTGGCAGAGCTGATCCAGTACCTCGGCCCACTCATGAAGGCTCCCCGCTCGGCCGAGTCCATGGGCAGGCTGCAGGCGCTGCACAGCCAGGCCAGCGAGGATATCGACAAGACGGAGAAGGAGCTGGAGCAGCTGCGGAGGCTGCAGAGGCTTCGGGGTCCGAGCTGAAGATGGGCATAGGCGAGGTTCGGTACACCCGCGATGTGCTGGACTTTGCCTTCTCCATCTGGAGGCGGACCATCCACTTGCCACAGCCCAGTCGCATCGGCGGCGAGGCTGCTGGCGAAGTACTGCCACAGCCCAGTCGCATTGGCGGCAAGGCTGCTGGTGAGCTGAAGGAAGACGACGATTTTGAGTTCGCGGAGATCCCGCCTTCCCGCTGCTGGGCAGTGCCGTCAGCCCCAGTACGGACGACGAGGGCGCCGCGGAGATGGCGTCGCCCGCGGTCGACGCGAGTGGCTGTCCCGTTACTCAGGCGGACTTCGATGCCATGGCAAGCATCTGCATCGAGGCGATTGGCAAGGACAGGTCCGAAGCCATGAGGCGCATCAAGGGCTTCAGTGAGCGCTTCGGCATGGAGGCGGAATGGCAGTCCACCTTTGGCCGCATGCTCGAGAAGCCCCCTGACGCCTGAGGCAACTCTTCCCATGTGGGAGGGTGGCCCTGCCTGGCGCTTCGCTCTTTTTGGTTTCCCTGGGGTCTGGCTCTCCTCGTCGGTATGTTGGATTCCCCTCGTTTTCTGGGCATCGGCCCACCCAGCGTCGTGGCGTAGGTTCGCGGCGAGGCCGTAGGCGGCGGGGGCCCGAAGTCGGAGCCCGCATCATCAGAGCCCTCAGAGCCCTCCGCCTCCTCCTCCTCCTTCTCCGCCTCCTCCTTCTCCTCCCTCCTCCTTTCCCTTCTCCTCCTCCTCCTCCTCCCTCTTTGACGCTGCGCTAAATCAAGGACAAAGCCCGAAGCGTGGTGCTCCTCATTCTCCTCATTCTCCTCCTCCTCCTCCTCCTTCTCCTCCTCCTGCTCCTTCTCCTCCTCCTCCTCCTCCTCCTCCTCCTCCTCCTCCTCCTCCTCCTCCTCCTCCTCCTCCTCCTCCTCCTCCCCCTCCCCCCCCTTCAATCAATCCCCGGCGCCGTCCCGAGGCAAAGCGGTCCTTCAGCCGCAGCAGCGGCCGTGTCCGCCGGGAGCAGGGCCGTGCCCGCCGGGGCAGCGGCGAAGACGTGCCTGTCCATCCACCTCCGGAGGTCGCGGGCCCCGCTGCACCTAGAGTGCATCGTGCGACCACAGGGAGGAGGAGGAGGAGGAGGAGGAGGAGGAGGAGGAGGAGGAGGAGGAGGAGGAGGAGAGGAACGAAAGGGGCTTCGCTGGCCACGGCGAGCCTCGGCCACGAATCGGTGCCACGGCCAGCTCCGGAGAGACGGCCCGAGAGCCAGAGGCCCCCCCAGAGCCCAAGGTTGTCCTTGTTTCAATGCCCTGACTGTGCAGAAGCAGGGCATCGAGGATCGATGCCCGAAGGTTGGGAACGCTCTTGGGACACTCCTCGTTGTGCGAGCCTCTCTCCCTTCGTGCGTCCTCTCTCCTACAGCGGCGCCATGCCATCATCAGGCCACACCGGATCCCCTGTCTGAATATCAAAACCCAGCCGAATCGAGCCGGCCGAAGCCGACGTCAGACTGGGGAGGGCAGATTCGAATCGTGGGATTGAATGCGCTGGCACGGTTGCGAAGAGCACGGCGTGATGTCACAGCGTGGTGACACAGTGTCGTGTCGCAGCACGGCGGTGTGTCGCAGTGTGGTGTGGACCATCTCGATCGATCGGGTCGGTATGGACCCTTCTCATGGCGATCCACGTCTACCCGCCTCCCCCCACCTCTCCTCGCAGGCGCGCCCTGAGGCGGTGGCGCAGCCCCTCGAGGAGGGCGGGGGCAAAGAGAGAGGGATGAGGGTGGGGGGTCAGAGGAGGGCCAGCTGAGGCATCGGCGGCCGCCCTCCTCCCTCCTACGTACCTCCCTCCTCCTTCTCCTCCTCCCTCCTCCCTCCTCCATCCTGACTCCTGCATCCTCCTTCCTCCCTCATCCCTCCTCCCTTCTCTCTCCTCCCTCCTCCCTCCTCCATCCTCCTCCCCCTCCTCCTCCTCCCCCTCCTCCTCCTTCCCCTCCTCCTCCTCCTCCCTCCTCCTCCTCCTCCTCCTCCTCCTCCTCCTCCTCCTCCTCCTCCTAAGTACTCCTCCTCCTCCTCCTCCTCCTTCTCCTCCTCCTCCTCCTTCTGCTCCTCCTCAATCCTCCACTCCTCCCCTCGTCCCTCCTCCTCCACCTCCACCTCCTCCTCCTCCTCCTCCTCCTCCTCCTCCACCTCTTCCTCCTCCTCCTCCTCCTCCTCCTCCTCCTCCTCCTTCCGCCTCCAGTCCTCACTGGGACAGGCCCACTCTCTTTTTTTTTTTTCTCTCTCTCTCTCTCTCTCTCGACAAGGCAGCGACCGCTTGGATGGCCTCCCCGCCCTCCCCCCGCCCATCGCAGGCGCGCGCGCGCGCGACGAGGACCCCCCGAGGACCCCCCCAGAAGCTGCGGCGAAACACGACGGCGCGCCTCTCCGCCACCCGGAGGAACTCCTGCGCGCGGAGCGCGCGTATACGCGAGCGAGGCGGAGGCCGACGACACGACGACGAAGACGTCGCCGTCTCCACCGCCGTCGTCGTCGCGTCGTCGCCGTCGCCGTCGCCGTCGCCGTCGCCGTCGCCGTCGCCGTCGCCAGCGCCGTCGCCGTCGTCGTCGTCGTCCTCGAGCTCGCCTCTGCTGCGCGCGCCTGTCCGCCACCAGGACGGCGCCCCCGTGCACGAGGGACTGCCGATCGCTCGAGCGGCCTCGGGCAGAGAGGTCGCCTCTGCTCTGGCGCGCGGCGTGCGGTTGTGACGGCGGCGGCCCGCGCGCGCTCGGGTGAGGCCCACCGCGCCCGTCCGAGAGCCGCGCACCACGGGCCACTCCGGCAAAGGGCTGCTCCTGACGAGAAGCCAGGAAACCGACAGGGGCTGAAATGGGTACTGAAAAAAGGGGCACAATGCCCAACAACAGATGCTGTCCCAAACCGACAGCGGCCGCTGTTGGGCAGGCGGCCGTCTGTCTCGAATGGACACGGGCCGCGGCTGCGCAGACAGCGAGTCCTGTTCAAAATGAACAGGAACTGCTGTTGGGCATTGTGCCCATTCTTTCTGTACCCATTCCGTGCGTGCAGATGAATGCGACGACGCCGGCGGCGGCGACGACGCTGTCGCCGGCGTCGCCATCGCAGGCGGCCTCAGGCGTTGTCGCTTTGGAGACATCGTGGGCGCTAATGGTGGCTATCGTCGCCCCAGCTGAGCGCGGCTCGAAAACGAAACAAGGGTGGACCCGGAAGGCGTCCAGGGATGAGCCTCGAGCTGGTTCTGCCCGGGGGCAGGGCAGGGGGTCGACATTCTAAGAAGGCAAGGGCTTTTTGCAACAATCGTAAGGAGGGAATGCGGATCAGGCTCAAGATGAGCCTGTCCGCTCATCAGCTTTTCACACCACCCGCGCACACATGTGCAACGGCTTCAAGCCACGGGTCGCTGGAAAATCCCCTGATCTGTACGATTATGTGTATTGGTATTTCGCTCCGCGTCGCCTGGCGTCCCCCCCAACCCCTCTCGCCCGACGGGGCGGGCCTCGCCTCCGCCACGCCGCACCGCGCTGGCCCACACGCCAAGCCCGCCGCAGCCGGCCTGCGCTGCTGCCTCTCGCCCCCACCCCTCGCCGGCGCCTGGCTCGCCCTCGTGGCGGCCCCCGCTCCCGCAGCCCCCTCTTGCCGGGCCCGCCCTGCACTGCGGCTGCCGGCCCCTCCCCGACGCCGACCCGCGCTCGCTGCCGGGGGCTGCCGTGCAGCCTGGCCGCCCCGCGCGCCCCCCCGCGGCCCGGCCGCGCGAGTGCGCCCTCTCTCCCTCCTCCCGTCTCTGCGCCTGGCTCTCCCCTCCCCCCACCCTCCTGCACGCGGGACGAGTCACAATGCCGTAGCCTGGATTGTTCGACGCGCGAGCGGATCGCCTCCGCCGCGCCACGACGGAGAAGTTCAGGCGAATTTCCGATGGGTCGAAGCTAGAGAGGGCGGCTCCGTGGCAGTGTGAGGCTCTTGCCTGAAAAGCAAGCTCGTGAGCGCTGGCCTTTCAAAAAGGCGCGTCCCGCAGGGACAGGGAACGGCTGTGTGGACTCGAGGAAGGGGGTATCGGCACGGCAGGGTCGATGGCAGGCACGTGGAGACATGCTGGAGTTTCTCTGATCCTCTCCCTCCTCCTGTCTCCTCGCCTCCCAAAACACATGCCAATCAAGTCCTGGACCCTGGAACCCTCCATAGAGGGCAAAACATCCACCCCCATAACAATCACCCCGACACGCGAAGCCGTTTAGCAAACGCACCCAAAGAAGGAACCACAAAGCGCAGGGCTGTTTAGTAAACGCCCAAGGCCGTTTAGTAAACGCCAACTGTCGGGTCTGGGTGGCTTTTCCTCCCTTGAATCCGGGGGTCATCCCGGATCGACTTCTGACGGCCCCGTCTCCCGCAACGGGTACCCAGCAGCCGAAGCTTGGGCAGCACATCTGGCGCGAGATGCTCCCGAGGCGTCGCTCGCCTGCCGAAAGGACGCCAGCAGTCCTTCGCTCGGCAGCTGCATGCGAACCCTACCCCAGCAGGCGCAAACTTTAAGTCGGGCCTGTCCCTCTACAGGGGGATTTTGGAAGAAAAATTTAAAGTAGTAAAAAAACGTCCCCCAGACTATTTGTTTGACTATTTTGGAATATCCCTCCTGTAGAGGGACAGGCCCGGCTTAACCCTACCCCAGCAGGCGCAAACTTTCCGAAACATCGGCGATGGGTGTGAACAACGAGGCCTCAAGCACGGTGAACACTAGCGGGGCACCGGGTACCCCAGCGTCGCTTCGACCCACAGGGACAGGGTTCACTGACTCATGCACCGCTTCTGCCTGGAATGTGGACAAAGCTGCGCAATAGGCTGCGACGCTCGCCGCTCTAGGCGGCTCGCGGGCCTGGATGCTTACGGTTTGGGCGCGCGCGTGTGTTGATGCCATCGCCCACCGTGCGCTCGCCATCTATGGTGCTCGCTCGCTGCTTGTCTGCTTTGCAGACCTGGCGAGCCATCCACAGGCGCGCCAGTGCTAGGAGTCAGCCACGCGCAGACGGGGGTGCGGGAGGGGAAGGGCTTCTTAGAAGCACCCCTGCTTCTTCGAAGGCGCGGGCCTGATCTGTCGATGAAAGGCCGGCGCCTTCTAGGAAGCAGCCTCCTTCTAAGGAGCCTTTCCCCCTCCCCCCACCCCCTTGTGCGCGCCAGTGCCAGGAGAAAACTCAATCACGGATCCGCGCCCCTGACAGGAACCCAGCCGCTTCGGGCCTTTACCCCCCTCCGTGACGAGCCCCTGCCGCGACGACCCCCCTCGCCATCGAGGCCCCCCCCACGAGGCCGGCTGCCCACGCCGTGGAGCGAGGCGGGGGGCCCGGCACGGAACGGGTCGGTGTGCGCGGGGGTCGGTGGGGCCGCCCCCGACTGCGGCGCCAGAAGCTCTGGCTTCGCGTGTCGCGTGCCGCCGCAGCGACACAGCTTGCCGGGGAGCGGACCTCGTGTCGTCCGACTTTGCTTGATCCTCGGGTTGTCGTCGGAACAATAACTCCTGCACATAGCCGACGCGCGACGGAAGGGCCCGAGGGGGCCGAAAGAAAGCGAGGGACGGCCCCAGGAACCAGACACAACCGAGCGGAGGGACACATCCGAAAGAAAGGGGCCAAGGAACAACGAGGGCCCGGAAGCTACAAAGTGATGGATCCGTGGAGCGCGAGGCTGGGGAGGGCTTTGGGGCGTGACGCAGACGCTTGGGAATATTGGGAAGCAGCCGGCGCGTGCCGCGCCGAAGCGTGGCGGGCAAGAACTGGCGGCGCGACACGCGACGCGTACGTTCCTGGCCGTACTTCGCAGCGGGGCGCGCGCGATCAAAGCGCGATGTGGCCGGCGCGGGGTGTGTCCTGCGGGAGCGCCTCCGGCTCGCCCTCGACGACGAAGACGGACGAGGTCTCCTCCTCGAGGGCCTGGTGCGAGGGTCTCGCGACGGGGACAGCAGGGCGCTGGGAAGGAAAGGGCGGGGGAGAGAAGGAGAGGGGCAGGAGCGCGATGAGGAGGGGGGAGGAGCAGAGGGGGAGGGGAAGGCAAGAAGGGAAGGCAAGAAAGGGAGAAGGACACGTCGCTGCCGTTGCCGTCTGGGTCATCGTCGTCGTCGTCGTCCTGAGTCTCGTCGTCGTCGGCGGCGCCAAAGCAATCGCCGTCGCTGCCGCCCTCGTCCTCGTCTCCTTCTCCTCGCCCTCTCATCCACCTCCTCCTTGGCCTTCCCCAACTTCCTATGTCCGCTCCATTGTCTACATGCTGTGGTAAAGCCCTCGTCCTTGCTAGTTCCTCTACTTCTGCTCCTCTTGGCACCTTACTGTCATCAATTTCAAATCGTCTCGTCCTATCACAGGTCTCGCCCTTTTAATACGTCACCGTGGCGCTAGGCACGTAGCGCAGTGTGCTCAGGACCCTCCGAATTCTCGAAATGTTGTTATCCAGAGTGGAGCCCACACATTGAGTTACCGAACCGTGGAGGTGAAAGCTATGCGTTGAAAGCTACGTGGTGAAAAGGTATGTAGCGGACGCCATCTTAAGTAAGCTGGGACATGTGCGCTATGAGGTGTCAGCTACGTCGTGCAAGCTACGAAGTGTAAGCTCAACGCACGGGGCGCCCACGGATGCCCACGAGGCGCCACGGGCGTCGACGTGGCGCAGCCTCGGCCGATCCACCTAGCGCACGGGGCGCCCACCGGCGCCATCGAGGCGGCAACGTGGTGCAGCCGGAGTAAAAACGCCAGGGCCAGAGACACTGCTGGGGGGAGCACTGCATGCTGCAAGTGCCCCTGGAAGATTCCGACCCCGACGGGCACCGGGTAACCTTGTCCGACGCCTCGGGAGGGTGGGTCGAACCGGGGGCTCCCTTACGGTCACCTTCGGACGTCTTGGGGCGCTTGGGGGCGGGCCCCGAAAGGGTGCGAATCAGTGCAACATCTTCAGAGGCTGTACAGTTTTCGCTGCGCGCCTCTTCGGCCGCAGGAGCCCGCAAGACGGCCCAAGAGATCCCCCGGGGACCGCCCGAAGGCGGTGCCCGAGGCTCCCAAGAGGGCCCCCGAGAGGATCTCCAGAGGGGCCCTTAGAAGGGAAACCCCAATCAGACAAGTTCGAGCCGTAGCCCACAGATGGCCCCCGAGACTGCCAGCAGGTCCCGGAGAGGCCCCAAGAGCACTCCAAGAGGCCCCCAAGAGGCCTCCCAAGAGGCCCCCCCAAGAGACCCCAGTAGACCTCTTGTCGACGATGTGGCGAGATGGGCCAAATGTCAGAAAACACTTGTACCACGTTCTCTCTCTCGCTCTCTCTCTCTCTCTCTCTCTTCTCTGGGAAACCTTGTCGAGATCCGCTTTGCTCTTAAACCAGTTCACCACCGGCTTGGACATCCGCTCCACATACCTCCAGGGGCAGACGGGGAGCAGGGTGATGGAGGGGAAGGGCGAGGAGAGAACAGAGGAGGAACACCGCTCGATGCCCGGAATCTGTTTTTCACCTTCGCCTGCCAACCGCTTCCTGGAATTACCCGAGGAACTTTTCAGTGTGCCAACTGGAAGCTGCGCCCGCTAGCAACTACTATGGCAGCGTGCTGCTCTCAAACAAACTCCCCCTATGATCCTCTTCGCCGCGCGTTCGCTGTCTCTCCTTCTCTGTTGTTGGTTCTTTCTCTCTCTCTCTCTCTTTCTCTCTCTCTCTCTCATTCCTTCTTTCTCTCTCGCTCCTCTCCCTCACTCTATATCTCTCTCTCCCTCCTACGTCGTACTTTTTCGTGGAGAGAGCATTTGTACAACGCCAGTCTTCATGAACCGAGAGGCAACGCAGAGAGCGAGCCAAATCATCGACGACAGGCGGTGTTGGACAGCACTGCGCACAATGAATTAGGCAACGCTAAGGCATGATCCTACATCGCAAGTGTGAGGCGAATCCGTGCTTCCGTCTGCCCCTTCGGACTGTCACGCCCGCCGACCTTCGGCGAGCTGCTGCTGGCTTTCGCAGGAGAGAGGAGGTCAACCGCCCACTCTCACCAACCTTTCGGCAGCGCGTTTTTTTGCTCAGGAGCGCCAGCGCCGGGAGCTTCTCCGGCGCAGCGAGGAGTACCGATGCCAGCATCCCCGCCAGCGCAGCCGTGAGCACCGACGCCAACATTCCCCGCCAGCGCAGCCTGGAGCCCCGTCCCCTGCAGCCTCGCCTGCACAGCGGGTTGCACCGGCGCCGGCATCCTCGCCCTCACATCTGGGCCCGCGAACGTCAGCACCCTCGCCTGTAGTGCCGAGAGCACAGACGCCAGCACTGCCGTCATCGAAGCCAGGAGCACCGATGCCATCGTCCTCGCCCGCGCAGCCGGGAGCACCGACCCCTGCATCCTCGTCGGCAGAGCCTGGATCACCGACGCCAGCCTCCCCTTCTACGCAGCCTAGGCCACTGTGGTCAACATCCTCGGTAGCACAGCGAGAAGCACCGACGCCAGCATACTCGCCAGCACAGCGTGGAGCGCCGACGCCAGGAGCTTCGCCGGCGCAGCCAGGAGTACCGACGCCAGCATCCCTGCCAGCGCAGCCGAAATCTCTGATGTCAGCATCTTCGCCATCGCAGCCAGGAGCGCCGACGCCCCCCTCCTCGCCAGTGCAGCCGAGAGCACCAACGGCAGCGTCCTCGCCAACACCAACAACAGCACCCTCGCGACCACCGCTAGGATCTCCGACGCCAGCATCCCTGCCAGCACAGCGGGGAGCTCTGACGTCAGCATCCTCAAAAGCACAGCCGAGTGCACCAACGCCAACACACCCGTCAACACAGCCTGGTCCGCCGTCGTCATCATCCTCGCCAGCGCAGCCGGGAGCACCAGCGCTAGTATCCTCGCCATCACATCTGGATGCACGGACGTCAGCATCCTCGCAGGCCGCGGGAACGGCGCGACGGCCTCCAGCAGCACGAATGCGAGCAGCACGACGGGCTCCAGAGTCATCAGTCATCACCAGTGACAGCACGACGGACTCCAGCAACGCTATCGTGCACATCACTTCGGACTCCATCGGCAGCACCGTGAGCAGCACGACGGACTCCAACAGCACGACCATGCGCACCACGACGGACTCAAGAAACACAACCGTGAGCAGCATTATGGACCTCAACATCACGACCTTCAGCAGCATGGCGGACTCGAACAGCATCGTCGTGAGCAGCATTACGGGCTCCAGCAGCACGGTCGTGAGCAGCAAGACGAACTCCAGCAGCCCGACGGATTCCAGCAGCACGACCGCGAGCAGCACGACGGATTCCAATCTCCTCCTGGAGCGTCGGGGGCCTCAGGAGAGGCCCTCGCACCAGTGCGCCCCATCGAGCGCTGCCCAGGAGCGCCCGACTCGTCCCACACGCTGCGCATGAGTCCTGCGGGCAGGACCTCGATGGCGGGGGTGGCGGCGGCGGCGGCGACGGAGACGACGGCGGCAGTGGCTTGGGCGCCCGACTTATCCGGGGGAACTCGGGTCCGGGGTAACTCGGGCTTGGATTCCCGAAAAACGAACCCGAGTTATCCCTGACCCGAGTTACCCCTGACGATTCGGGGCTCTGAGTGGCGTCGGCGACGGCGAGGGCATCGGCGGAGACGGCGGGGGCACGGGCGGCGGCGGCGGCAGCAGTGGCACAGGCAGTGGCGACCCTGGTGCCACGGGCGCCGAGGACGCTGGGCGCCGCCCCACCGGGACCTCCCTGACGCCAGAGGCCCCCCCCGGGGGATGCAGAAGGCGGCCAGCCCAGGTCCTGCTGCTGCACCGGGGAGCCTGGCGGGCGCTGTCCCACCTCTGTCTGCGCGCCGGTTCGTCGCACCCCGGGGCTGGAGTGGCGCTGGGAGCGCAGGGCAGCTCCAGGGAGTCGGGGGAGGGGGCGAACCTGGCGCCGCTGCTCGGCCTGGAGAGCCCTCGCCGGCCTCTCGGGGAGTCGGAGGATTTCGAGGAGGCGGAGGTGTGGAAGATCCTGCAGCACCGCTGCTCGCACTGCCTTGGGCCTCCGGAGGGGCAAGTCCTCATCCGGTGGTCCGGCGAGGGAACGGCACGTGCGTGCTGAGCCCCAGCGGCCAGCCCAGCGACTGGACCCAGCGCTTGGAGCTGGACTGGGGTGGCCACTCCATCAACGCGCACGCGCGGAGCTGGGCGGACACCTCCGACGACGCCGGCGCCGACGGCGGCGGCGGCCACGCGGTGGCGACGACGCCCGGGGCCGCCGTACGGGCGGCAGAGCGCCGCGTCCGCTGGCGCCTGCGACGAAGCGGCCGGCGTGAAACCTGGCCGCAGCGACGCGGGCAGAGAGGGGCGCGGCACTGGCCGCTGCGACCTGCGACGGAGGCGCGGCTGGCAGCCGACGAGGCAGCCGCGGCCGCGCGCGCGGAAGCTGCCGGGGGCCGAGTTGGAGGCGGAGGCTGACCTGCGCGCCGAGGTCAGCGCCGCGCTGGCGCCTGGGCGGCGGCTCGCCACCTCGGCGTGGCCGCGGGGAGGCGCCTCCCCGCGGCCCGCGCCCGGGTCGAGCGGCCGACGGCGCAGCAGGGCGGGCGGGGGCGAACTCTGCTCGCTGGGAGCTGCGAAGCGCGGGGCGCGGGCGGCGCGGCGGAGGGCCGCGCCCCCCGCGAAGCAGGGGCGCGAGGCGGTGGCCACGGGCCGCCACCGGCCGCGCCTGCGCTTGGTGCACTTGCTGTGGCTGCTGCCTCTCCTCTGGCTCTCCGACCCTGTCCCCCCTCCTCCTCCTCCTCCTCCTCCTCCTCCTCCTCCTCCTCCTCCTCCTCCTGCTTTCTCGAGGGGCGCCTTCTCGAGCTTGCAGGCAGGTGTCAGCGCGTGGTGGGCCAGAACAGGCGGCGCGACGCGCCGAGCAACAGTCCTGGGCCGCAGACCCCCCGCGGCCGCGGATATACGGGAGAGGTGGCCCGGATCGGGAGGGGGGGGGGCAGGATCGGTCGCAGCATCGAAACGGGCATGCGGATCGTGACGCACGTCGGATCGGGCTGCATCGGCACGGGGTCGAACTCGACTTGGACTGGCCACGCCGAGATGCACACCACAACGCCGGGCAAGCAACCGATCGGGCCGCCGCGGGTCGCCGGAGAATCGGGATGGCATCGGATCGAGCGGGCCACCATCGATGTCGAACTGGACCGATCGGGTCGAAATGGGACCCGGGGGTGCTGCGGGTCGCAGACTGGTCGCGGGTCGGCGACAACAGCGAGTGCCGCCGACAAGGACGATCACGACGTTACTAATACCTGTCATCCACAGCGCGAGATCGCACTTCGGCCACGCACCCCGGGACAAAGCAAGGCCGGCCAGTTCCTGCATTAGGATTGAGCCGCGCTGACTGCGGACGCGGATAGGGGGCCCTTGATTGCATGGCTCCCGAGGGAAGCAGTTCCTGGATACCTCAGGCCTTTTCCTCAGGACCAATGTTTCATCCTGGTCACTGTTTTTTGTACTGTCTCGCGGCCCACTAAAAATGCCCAAGCAGTCCGGACGCGGAGGAACAAGCCTTTCGGACCAGCTCCTTCATAGGGGGCCCAAGAAGAAGCACGATGACGATGAGGGCACTTGAGGAAGCCCTCCTCGGTGCGCGTGGACGAGTACGTGAGTGGCTCTGCTTGGTTATGCGGCCGGAAGTACTTGATGGTCGGGTAGCCCTCGGGGCCGCCCCACCCTTAGGGACATGGAAAACCGACACCAACACAACCAGGGACTACCAGCGGAAGGAGCCAGGGAGGGGTCCCCATGGTGGTGTGGTCCCCCCTCTCGCTCAAAATATCCCCTATCCCCAGTTCGGAGAGGCATCGCGGATCTCCTCGCTGAGTTTGCCCCCTGGTGGGGTTGGTGTCGCTTATCCTTCCCCCAGTCCTCCATCCTCCCCCATCCCCTCCTCCTCAGCCACGTCGCCCTTTGAAGCCACCACCCCCTCCGGCGCCTCCCCGCACCCTTGCAGGCCTCTTCCCTCTTCTCCTTCTCCTCCTCCTCCTCCTCCTCCTCCTCCTCCTCATCCACCTCCTCCTCCGCCCCCCCTTCCACTTTCTGATACTCTCCCTCCATACCCTCTTACGTATACTGTACCTGCTCTATCGTTAAGTGCGCCGTCGCCTGAATTCAAAAACCCGACCGCCGCCGCCGCCGCCATCAGCCAGGTGAGCGCCGTCCATTCCGGCTACTTCTCATCCTTCACCCTTCCCCCATACCAGTCAGACAACCTGCCCTCCGCCGTCTGCTCCACACTGCGCTCTCCTCCATGATGCCCCTCTTGAGTCCGTTCGGCGCCTGGGCCCGTTTGCGGCATCCCAGCAAATCCGGGATCGATGCCGCTCGGCGGTCGAATGGGCCTACTTCGCTCCGCTCTGCTGAAGTGAGCCCAGTCGGCGGTCGAGTGG